TACAAACCCGATTCCAAAAAAGTTGGGACACTGTACAAATTGTGAATAAAAACAGAATGCAATGATGTGGAAGTTTCAAATGTCAATATTTTATTCAGAATACAACATAGATGACATTAAATGTTTAAACTGAGAAAATGTATAATTTTAAGGGAAAAATAAGTTGATTTTAAATTTCATGGCATCAACATCTCCAAAAAGTTGAGACAAGGCCATGTTTACCATTGTGTGGCATCCCCTCTTTTTATAACAGTCTGCAAACGTCTGGGGACTGAGGAAACAAGTTGCTCAAGTTTAGGAATAGGAATGTTGTCCCATTTTTGTCTAATACAGGCTTCTAGTTGCTCAACTGTCTTAGGGCTGTCGTCGCATCTTCCGCTTTATGATGCACCAAATGTTTTCTATGGGTGAAAGATCTGGACTGCAGGCTGGCCATTTCAGTATCCGGATCCTTCTACACAGCCATGATGTTGTAATTGATGCAGTATGTGGTCTGGCATTGTCATGTTGGAAAATGCAAGGTCTTCCCTGAAAGAGACGTCTGGATGGGAGCATATGTTGTTCTAGAACTTGGATATACCCTTCAGCATTGATTGTGCCTTTCCAGACGTGTAAGCTGCCCATGCCACACGCACTCATGCAACCCCATACCATCAGAGATGCAGGCTTCTGAACTGAGCGCTGATAACAACTTGGGTTGTCCTTGTCCTCTTTAGTCCGGATGACATGGCGTCCCAGTTTTCCCAAAGAGAACTTCAAATTTTGATTCGTCTGACCACAGAACAGTTTTCCACTTTGCCACAGTCCATTTTAAATGAGCCTTGGCCCAGAGAAAACGCCTGCGCTTCTGGATCATGCTTAGATATGGCTTCTTTTTTGACCTATAGAGTTTAAGCCGGCAACGGCGAATGGCACGGTGGATTGTGTTCACCGACAATGTTTTCTGGAAGTATTCCTGAGCCCATGTTGTGATTTCCATTACAGTAGCATTCCTGCATGTGATGCAGTGCCGTCTAAGGGCCCGAAGATCACGGGCATCCAGTATGGTTTTCCGGCCTAGACCCTTACGCACAGAGATTGTTAAATTTCATGGCATCAACACATCTCAAAAAAGTTGGGACAAGGCCATGTTTACCACTGTGTGGCATCCCCTCTTCTTTTTATAACGGTCTGCAAATGTCTGGGGACTGAGGAGACAAGTTGCTCAAGTTTAGGAATTTGTCCCATTCTTGTCTAATACAGGCTTTTAGTTGCTCAACTGTCTTAGGTCTTCTTTGTCGCATCTTCCTCTTTATGATGCGCCAAATGTTTTCTATGGGTGAGACTGCAGGACTGCAGGCTGGCCATTTCAGTACCCGGATCCTTCTTCTACGCAGCCATGATGTTGTAATTGATGCAGTAGGCATTGTCACATTGTCATGTTGGAAAATGCAAGGTCTTCCCTGAAAGAGACGACGTCTGGATGGGAGCATATGTTGTTCTAGAACTTGGATATACCTTTCAGCACTGATGGTGCCTTTCCAGATGTGTAAGCTGCACGCACTCATGCAACCCCATACCATCAGAGATGCAGGCTTCTGAACGGAGCGCTGATAACAACTTGGGTTGTCCTTGTCCTCTATAGTCCGGATGACATGGCGTCCCAGTTTTCCAAAAAGAACTTCAAATTTTGATTCGTCTGACCACAGAACAGTTTTCCACTTTGCCACAGTCCATTTTAAATGAGCCTTGGCCCAGAGAAAACGCCTGCGCTTCTGGATCATGTTTAGATATGACTTCTTTTTTGACCTATAGAGTTTTAGCCGGCAACGGCGAATGGCACGGTGGATTGGGTTCACCGACAATGTTTTCTGGAAGTATTGCTGAGCCCATGTTGTGATTTCCATTACAGTAGCATTCCTGTATGTGATGCAGTGCTGTCTAAGGGCCCGAAGATCACGGGCATCCAGTATGGTTTTCTGGCCTTGACCCTTACGCACAGAGAATGTTCCAGATTCTCTGAATCTTTGGATGATATTATGCACTGTAGATGATGATGATGATAACTTCAAACTCTTTGCAATTTTTCTCTGAGAAACTCTTTTCTGATATTGCTCCACTATTTTTTGCCAGAGAATTGATGATCCTCTGCCCATCTTGACTTCTGAGAGACACTGCCACACTGAGAGGCTCTTTTTATACCCAATCATGTTGCCAATTGACCTAATAAGTTGCAAATTGGTCCTCCAGCTGTTCCTTATATGTACATGTAACTTTTCCGGCCTCTTATTGCTACCTGTCCCAACTTTTTTTGAGCTGCATTAAACAGTGTGTAAAAGCAAAAGAAAATGCCATTCAGATGCAACTTCTGTGTTTCCTCTGCATTGCAAAGATGATTTTTTTTGTCAATACTGACTTAATTTGCTTGGTAACAGCAAAGATGTCTTATTAAATGTAAAAAAGAAAAAAAAATGGCTTTATAAAGGTAAAAAATGCCCATAAAAGGTAAAAATCTATTTAAACTTATTGGAAAAGATTAATCTGCTACATGACAGTAGGCTACTGTACATCAGATGGAATACTTCAAACCGGAGCTATTTTTGTTTGCTAAGAAGACACCCCAGAAGATGGATCAATTATCCATCATTGTTCAAAGTAAATAATTAGTTTTAATACACTCTAAAAAATGCTGGGCTGTTTCAACCCAACTTTAGGTCAAATATGGACTAACCCAACTTTTTGGTTAAAAATTAAATAAAAAACTTTAACCCAGCAGCTGGGTTAGTCCATATTTGACCCAATGTTGGGTTGAAACAGCCCAGCATTTTTTAGAGTGATAAATAAAAATATTGTAAAAATCAAGGAAATTTCTCTGGCATATCTTTCTTTTTGCTGTATCGAAAACATAATGAACCGTGAATTTTGCAAACCATTACATGTGTGTGTCTATATATATATATATATATAGACTCGTTATATTAGGCTACCTTAATTAATATGACATGGCATGAACACAGCATTCAGCTCATCCAACCCCAATCAAACACACCTGGACAAGCTAATTAAGGCCTTCCAGTCAGATTACTAGAAAGCTACAGGCAGGTGAGTTTGGGTTGGATTTGACCTGATCTCCTTGGACCTTTAAAACCCCATTTTACAGCGGTTGATATTGCAGCAACACGTTTATTCGTTTTAGTTTTGTGTGTTTCGCTGTCCACTCCTCCTGACGCACCAATTCAGCGCATTTTCCAGCAGAGATCGTTGTGAGATCGCAGGTCGGGAGGATGAGAGCTCGAGTGTTTTTCTCGTTGGTTGCCGTTTTATCGTGTGTGTTCGGATACTTGAGCATAACCGGCGCTACTCGAACCACAGGTGAGATGATCTGTTGACTTCATTACACAGCCTGAAGAAAAGCAGAAATGAGTGACTCTGTCTTTGAAAGTAATTAACACAATTTAGGAATGAGTAGTAGGTTTTAAAACCCTTTTTTCTTTCTTTTTTTATTTGAAGCAGATAACTATGTAAAATTTGTATCAAGGTTTGAGACTCCTTGCAAAACCCCTGATTTACAAATGCTGAAACCACGCTCCCTGGCCACCCCCTATAGTCGCCTTGATTTTGCCAAGTAATACATGTTCCTGGAAAACATTTCTGAGCAAAAATATCGACCTAACCCTACCCATAATTTATTCCTAAAATCAGAGGGAACTGATGGGTGTAGAAGCATCTAACCCTGATTGTAAGCCTAAAACTGACACTTATTGAAAACGTAGCCCTCGATTCTGATTGGTTGAATGGAATGTTGTTCCAGGATCAATAAGCACGTTGATCCAGAAACATGTTGTACTTGGTGAAATCACGTTCACCTATCCTCTTGAATCCTCTAGTGCAGTGGTTCTCAAACCTGTCCTGGAGTACCCCAGCACTGCACATTTTTGTATGTCTCCCTCATCTATCACACCTGATTCAACTCATCGGCTCATTAGTGGAGATTGCAAGACCTGAAGTGGGTGTGTCAGATATAGGGAGATATACAAAACTTGCAGTGCTGGGGGTACTTCATAGAGCGGTTTGAGAACACCTGCTCTAATGGACTGTTACTGTCCAGCGAAACCGACGGTCATGCCGTCCCTTCGAGGACGTTCTTCTGATTGAGACTGCTTTAGAGGACACAAATGCTGTCGATTTGACCTTGGGCCTGTTTGTGTGCTGCCCGTTTCCAGTGAGTTTCGGTTAATGGATGCTAGCGCCCCCCCACCCAAAAAAAGTAACTCCTTGAATTCAACAAGTTTTAAGCAGAACAATGTTATGTAAAACTTTCATTTAAGTGAATGGAAACGTTCAGCATTCAGTGGTTTCTGTCATGTGTCCGTATAACAGCAAAGCCAGGACGGTGTCCACCCCAATCATCTGGAAGAAGATCATGTACTAGTTCCTGTAAGAGTGACTCTAACTGTCCCGACAATGAGAAGTGCTGCAGCAATGGATGTGGACGTTACTGTACGGCTCCATGTACAGGTATTTGTTAAATTTGTTTTGGTATTATTATAAAAAAATTGCCTTTTGTTCTTGTCTCAAGTAGGTTTGAATTCATCCCTTAGGGTAGTTTTAAACCCAATGACTTTACAAAATAAAGAGGAAAAATACTTGACATATAATTCACTCTGTAGGGGAAAACTTGCTATTCATGCTTTGAGTGTTTCGTGCTGTTTATTGAAGTGGCATACTGTCCATAAGCCCAAACTAAAGCTGACTATCTGTGTCCACGCAGTGAAGCCGGGTCAATGTCCCAAACCGAAGTACATTCCACTGTTTGCTGAAAGCTGTTTCCATGATGACCAGTGTCCTGCCACACAGAAATGTTGCCCAACCACCAGTGGTCATGCATGCAGTGAACCACGTGGTCAGAGAAGCGGTCAAAGATTTGGCCAGGGGAGCGGGAACGGTTATGGAAGCGGATTTGGCCAGGGGAGTGGGAATGGCCAGGGGAGCGGTCATGGAAGCGGATTTGGCCAGAGGAGTGGATTTGGCAAAGGGAGCGGTCATGGGACTGGTCAGGGAAGCGGCCAAGGGACTGGTCAGGGAAGCGGCCAAGGGACTGGCCAGGGAAGCGGCCAAGGGACTGGCCAGGGAAGGGGTCAAGGGACTGGCCAGGGAAGGGGTCAAGGGACTGGCCAGGGAAGGGGTCAAGGGACTGGCCAGGGAAGGGGCCAGGGAAGCGGTCAAGGCCAGGGAAGGGGCCAGGGAAGCGGTCAAGGCCAGGCAAGCGGCCAGGGAAGCGGTCAAGGGACTGGTCAGGGAAGGGGCCAAGGTCAGGCAAGCGGCCGGGGAAGTGGTCGGGGAATCGGTCAAGGTCAGGGAAGCGGTCAAGGGACTGGTCAGGGAAGGGGTCGTGGTCAGGCAAGAGGCCAGGGAAGTGGTCAAGGCCAGGGGAGAGGTCAGGGGAGTAGTCAAGGGACTGGTCAGGGAAGGGGTCAGGGAATCGGTTTTGGCCAGGCAAGTGGTCAAGGTCAGGCAAGCGGCCAGGGAATCAGTTTTAGCCAGGCAAGTGGTCAAGGCCAGGCAAGCGGCCAGGGAATCAGTTTTAGCCAGGCAAGTGGTCAAGGCCAGGCAAGCGGCCAGGGAATCAGTTTTAGCCAGGCAAGTGGTCAAGGCCAGGCAAGCGGCCAGGGAATCAGTTTTAGCCAGGCAAGTGGTCAAGGCCAGGCAAGCGGCCAGGGAATCAGTTTTAGCCAGGCAAGTGGTCAAGGCCAGGCAAGCGGCCAGGGAATCAGTTTTAGCCAGGCAAGTGGTCAAGGCCAGGCAAGCGGCCAGGGAATCAGTTTTAGCCAGGCAAGTGGTCAAGGCCAGGCAAGCGGCCAGGGAATCAGTTTTAGCCAGGCAAGTGGTCAAGGCCAGGCAAGCGGCCAGGGAATCAGTTTTAGCCAGGCAAGTGGTCAAGGCCAGGCAAGCGGCCAGGGAATCAGTTTTAGCCAGGCAAGTGGTCAAGGCCAGGCAAGCGGCCAGGGAATCAGTTTTAGCCAGGCAAGTGGTCAAGGCCAGGCAAGCGGCCAGGGAATCAGTTTTAGCCAGGCAAGTGGTCAAGGCCAGGCAAGCGGCCAGGGAATCAGTTTTAGCCAGGCAAGTGGTCAAGGCCAGGCAAGCGGCCAAGGTCAGGGAAGTGGCCAAGGGACTGGTCAGGAAAGTGGTCAAGGCCAGGGAAGTGGTCATGATCAGGGAAGCGGCCAGGGTATCGGTTTTGGCCATGCAAGCGGCCAAGGTCAGGCGAGCGGCCAAGGTCAGGCGAGCGGCCAAGGTCAGGCGAGTGGCCAGGGAAGTGGTCAAGGGACTAGTCAGGGAAGGGGCCAGGGAATCGGTTTTGGCCAGGGAAGCAGTCAAGGCCAGGCGAGCGGCCAGGGAATCGGTTTTGGCGAGGCGAGCGGCCAGGGAATCGGTTTTGGCCAGGCGA